CCCCAAAACCCCAAAACCCCAAAACCCCAAAACCCCGAGGTTTGGACATTAGTTTGGATTTAATATATTAACTATTTTCCTCACATTAATATTGCTTTCAGCTTCTTCTGATCTTTCTTTGTCACTCCCATAAACATAAATTCTTTGATTCCTTTCTTGGCTAGAAAAGTATTAAGCCAGTTGCAGAGTTTAGCATATTAGCAAGCAAGAATTCGTGAGAATGAGGTGGAATGACAACAAGCCTTACTTTGTTTGTGAATAATAAGAGTCTTTAAAAATCTAGAGTTTAGTATTTCAGCCAAAACCTTCTGTCTTTTGGCAATCTCGGGCTTTTTAATGGCCTGTGAATTTATGGTTAGGTAAAGATCCGTGCACTTATTTCGAAGTATTTCACAGATCAAGTATATATTCTTAGCCATCAAAGTTGCTTTGATGACTAGCTTAGATAACTTTTTCATCTTCCCAAGCATCAAGAAAAATCTGTGATCAGCCTGAGCACCATCAAGTCAGACCTCTAAACGTTCCAAACTCACAGGCTTGATTCTATAAAACACTACAAGCCCACTAATCTTCTTAACCTTGCTATATCTAAGAAGGACAGACTCTGGCCAAACAGCTGGGATGACTTGGCCAAACATCAAAGGTGTTTCGCCCTCTTGATGCGTATTCATTGGATCCTTCTCTATATATTGTTCAAAACATTCCATGTCTATGTCGTTTTTCCTGGATATAGTCGTAAATTCTAAGTCAAGGTACGTAAAAACCTTAATGAACTTGCTTCCTCTGAATTTGACCGCAGAAGCATTGAAGTATTTAGATACGTATCTGACTTGGCCAGCTTGGAATCAATCATAACGATTAGTTAATGGGTTGTGGTAAAACACATCCACATCTTCGATGATTAACGAGCTGTATTGGTCATTGCTCAAAATTGATGAATTATTCTGTACTACAAAATCAAAAAATATATCCGGATGTATCTAAATGGAAGTTAGTCTTTGAAAGCATAAAATTGTATCGAAGATAGATCGTTTTCTGAAGAAGAAGTGTAGCATTTACCACTTACATTTCTCGGTTTAAACATTTTATAGGCAAGGGCAGTACAGAAATGTTATTTTAGCCAGAAAGTTAGCAAGTGATGTAAAATAGAAGTAAAGATACAGAAGTTAATAACAGCAAGAATTTATCCTAATATTACCTCATATTCAGCCGGCTTCTTGAAATGCAACATTTGAAGCAATGGAAAGAAGTTTACAAGACATTCTTTAGTAAGACTTAATCCATTTCTTTGCCAAGAGTCTTCAGAGTCAGAATCTACGAATCAATGTTTTGAGTAATCACATACTCACAATGTAGTTAAGTTCTTTGAAATATTTTGTGGTATCTTGTCCAGTTCTGAAGTCAACATATTTAACAAATCTGCTTGTTTTACATGCAACTCCGAACATTCAGCTGTAATCGTACTGATATCAACAGGTCCTGGGCTTTCTGTTAAGTCCAAGATGAGTACTCTCTCAAAGCTATTAGCAAAGGAGAAATCATTCAATCTTTTAGTAAATTTTAATTTATCCTCAAGGTTTTTGGGAGTATATCCCTTTTTGAAACTGACTTGCACACAATCAGGAAATATTGTTGATTTCTGTAAGCTTTGGTAAGGCAAGTTAATCACATTATGAACCTAAAACATTATTTTACTAATGCACCTACATCAACCCCTTTCCTCCTAACGCTAACCATAATTTCTCAAAACTCCAAGCCAGAAGGGTATCATCCATTCTCAATAAACTCACAGAACCTGCAGATATCATCTTCTTCATCAAGCACAACTGAAATTCGATGTCCGTGATAATTGTCATAATCAGACAAGAACTCAACAGTAGATTCATTAAACCCACGAGACAGTTGCATAACCTCTTCCTTTGGTTCTATTTCAGAGAGCCTATTCACAAAAGCAGGTTTGTTTTGGCTGAAATTATATCTGGTAATTTTACAGAGACAAACCATCAGTTTCCGACACTGCCCATAATTCCCGTAGTACTGTAGAATTGTAGAGCAATGGCTGAACTTTGTCATGAGTTCATGGATGCTTGGGTGAGTATCCTGGGGTTCACTTAATTCCATTTTATAAATTGAACAATCATATAAAGTATAAGAGGGGTTTTGGGGTTTTGGGGTTTTGGGGTTTTGGGG